GCTGGAGGACGGGGGCTGCAGCCTGGCTGCCTGCTACGTGAACCCCAGCCTCAACCAGCTGCCCTCGCCGGCCGAGGAGGCTGACCATGACCTCTGTATGCACTTGGTGCAGCTGCTCCACAGCACGCTGGTGGATAAAATGCAGACCATGCAGGTGGCTGAGAAGTGCCTGCAGATGGGCATCTTCCAGGACGACGACCTGGATCGGGTAAGTGGCACACCTGCAGGCCTGGCACCAGCCAGTGCCACAGACACTGGACACCCCCAGGAGCTGTGGGGCAGACAGGAACTAGAAATGGCCTTGTAAATGCAAAAATGAGAAGGGAGTACCCAAACTTCGGGGAAAAGAGAAATGGTGCATAAGCCAATGAAGACAGTTGGCAATGGGCCAGCAGGTGGGTTGCCAGCTAAGAACCAGGGAAAGAAAAATACCGTGAACGAAGGGTTGGTCTAAGCCAGTGTCAAAGTGGAAGGAATATGGCCGACTTTACTGTTACTTATCATTCTGCCACAGACCTTAGGCTCAGAAGATCATCAAGTGTCTTCTGCCCCCTGAACCATACCAGGAAGTAGCAATGGCCTGTGAACACCTGGAGAATACCTGAGTTAAAATAAAGCAAGACCTTCCCTCCCTTTTTTTTTGCCATTGGTTCACTAAGGAGTATTATACTAGACAGTAAAGCTGAGTGGAAATGCCAGTTTGGCAGGAGAGAGCAAGTGTTAGTCTTGATGAAAACATTTGCCGGTGTTTACTCAATTTGGCTAAGAATGACTTGCCTGGACTAGTGTGAAACATATTTGGAACCCCCAAAAAATGGATACCCTGAAACAGTGTTAGAAGAAGAAATTAAAATAGTACTTGCCATATAGCAATAAGGAGAAAACTGTCAAACTAAGGGTGGAACTATATCATATTTGCACTCTGAGCTTTTGCATCTACTTTTTAGGTAGTTTAATGCTCCATCTCAACTAAATGACAGTCACAGACATAATTTTGTCTGCTGACTGTCAGGTAGCAGTAAGGACCAGCTATACCCTAAGGGATGGGGAGCCGAGCATGGTAACAGAGCTGGCAGAGGTAGGGGCCTTTTAGGAGGTTACTGGCTGGGTTCACTGGTAATGGGTCCACATGTTCCCCCAGGTCATCTTTTTGCTGCTGGTATTACCATTAAGCCCTTGACAATCCTGCCAGTTTCAACTCCACTAGTGCGTAGGCTTTCCTAAAGTGCTTCTATATTCTTGTTAACCTCTCCTTACTCCCACTTTCCATGCACTTCCTTTTAGTGTTCAATCTGAGAAGTGTTTTAGCGTTCAGCCCAGAAAGCCAACCACATCCTCGGCTGCATCAAAAGAAGCGTGGCCAGCAGGTCAAGGGAGGTGATTCTCTCTCTCTACTCCACTCTGGCGATACCTGACCTGGAATACTGTGGCTAGCTCAGGAGTCCTCAGCACAAGAAGGACATGGACCTGTTGGAGAGGGTCCAGAGGAGGGCCACAAAGATGATCAGAGGGCTGGAGCACCTCTCCTTTGAGGACAGGCTGAGAGAGTTGGCATTGTTCAGCCTGGAGAAGAGAAGGCTCCAGGGAGATCTTATTGCAGCCTTCCAGTACCTAAAGGGGACCTGCAGGAGAGCCGGGGAAGGACTTTTTGCAAGGGCATGTAGTGATAGGATGAGGGCTAATAGCTTCAAACTGGAAGAGGGGAGATTTCGGTTAGATATCAGGAAGAAATTTTTCACTGATGAGGGTGGTGAGGTACTGGAACAGCTTCCCCAGAGAACTTGTGGATGCCCCATCCCTAGTTCAAGGCCAGACTGGATGGAACTTTGAGCAATCTGGTCTAGTGGGAGGTGTCCCTGCCCATGGCAGGGGGGTTGGAACTAGATGATCTTTAATGTCCCTTCCAACCTAAACCATTTTATGATTCTATGAATCTCAGCCAGGGGTTCTCACTGCTATGCCTGCCCATTTTCTTGCATATCAGGGTGGGTGATTCTCGAGCTTCAAGAAAATTGCCCTTGAGGACTAAACATCTGTCTCTTGGGCTGCTTTACTTTCAGTATGGTCATTTTGTTCCTCATCTGATCACATGTCAAGTTCTGCTTATGACAGGCTTGGGACACTTTTCCATAGCTTCTTTGATGGCAATGGCCACTTTCTAGAGCCTTAGCTGTTGTATCTTTAAGTGGGAATTGAGATGCTGAAACCAGAGTTTAAGAAGGGAAATCTTCCATTTTATGTATGAGGTCATGCTACAGATTAAGCCTGAGCTCTGGTACGGTGTATGACATCATTTCTCCTTAACCAAGGTCGGCTATGCCCTAAAACAGTGTGCATACCATTTTTTATACCACAATAATAATAATAATTATAGAGTGGTTGTTATTATTATAACCATTGTCCAGTACTGCTAGTCTCTCCAATTAAATAAGTTTTATATATCCTCCATGAAACTGTATGGGATAAACATGAAGTTGAACAAAACTACAGTAAGTCTCTTCTGATGAGTGGCAGGCCCACTTTATATCTTTATTTTTAAATATGTTTTAATGATGAGAGGGAAATGCTTTTGTACCTATGCTATTCTTACTAACTTCCCTGAACCACTTCCTAAGTCTGTCTCAAGATTGTGTGGGTTTTTTCATTTTCACCAGATCCACACTGTTACTGACAATCACGGGAACAGAGATGGTGCAAGGGAGCTATTGAGCAGAATAGTGCAGAAGAAAGACTGGTTCTCTCCTTTTTTGAGTGCTTTGCGTGAAACCCAACATGGAGACCTTGCAGATGAATTAAGCGGAAATACAGGAGGTAATTGTCTTATTTCACTCGTACTAATGTGTGGGGTTTAAATATCTTTTTTTTTTACTGTTACTTAGGAAGCAATTCAGGGTTCTCACTATATTGATTTCGCTGTGACACTGAGACGAATGCTTTCACTTGTCCAGGGATTTCAAAATCAAGTTATTTTACAGTTTATTCAATAGATTCTTAAACACTAAAAATCCTTATTAAGCTGTATCAGAAATAAAATAACATGTATGTAGTTGTAATTAAACTGAGTCCTTACCTTTTATAACCCATTGTTTTTCAATGTGATGTTTTTATAATTATTCACAAAAAAAATATTCTGAAGATTAATTAAGTTTTATGTTTTCTGTGCTCCACACAAAAAAAATTAAATGTTTTATAGTGCTGTGGAATTTCTATTTATTTTCTTGGAACAGAGAATAGAGAAAATGGAATGAAGAACAGTACAAGTGAAGAAACAGAAGTTACAAGCCAACCAGGATACACCGTAGTGAAGGATTTGAAACAAGAAGATGCGAATGATAGTTTCAGCAGTGAGAACAGTGTACTGGAAACATCTATTGGAAAGAATCCTGGAGTTTCAGGTATGTCCACTAACTGGTATTTTGTGCTGGTACCAGTTAAACTTTAGTAACTGTAAGTAACAGAGAACATTCCCTGCTCAAAAATTCAGGAACATATGGCACTGTCAAGGTGAAGAGAATGAATGGAAAAAGTAAATCTTGATTTTTTTGAAGCAGTAAATTCCATGTCTTGCTATGAATTAACAGCAGTACCAATTTTAAGGGTCAGATCTACAAATTTGTTCACTTCAGTTCAAATTGTTGCTCTAGGACAAGAATATGTTGTCGTACTTGAACTAATTAATCTGAAAGGTAAGAGCTGGTTCAGAAACCAATTTGATGGCACAGTACAGAATGGCTTAAGAGGATATGGCCATAGAATCTGTATCACACTACGTGCAGCCTTCATGTAGACATTTTCTGTATCCTGGTTGTAGTGGTGATGTTTTTATCTACTATGGGCTGCTTGATTCTCTTATAGTTAAGCAACAGTAATGATCTTCCTTTCCTCTTAATAACACTTTTAACAACTTTGTATTATTATTTTTTAATTTACTGTGTGAAGAAATGAGTAACTTTCAAACATATTTAATACTGTTAATTAAAAATATTAATAGTATTAAATGAATGCTTTCTTTCAGACCTATTCATGGTAGGTTTATACTATCCCATGAAAACATTAGGTTTACATTGACAACTCCTCCCAGTGTTGACAAAGTTTAAGTCAAGAGAAACGTTTCTGCACCACTATAACTGCAACTGTATTAAGTACTTCTGTCTAGAAGGCTGGTAATTCTATATTGAAAAACATTTTTGGTTTTGATAAGTCCTTTACTGCTGTCCAGCAAGTAATTTTTCTGTTTCTTTTAAGGATTTATATCTACAGAGCATCAAACAACCTTTGTCACTTACATCACATGCTCAAACGTACATTTTTTTAGTACAAATTTTTAGAAATTGTTGTGGCCTGTTGTTCATATGGATCCACTTTTGCGTGCCTTGGGAGTTGATTGTGAGCAACACCAATTACCAGCAACAATTCACAGACATAGCTGAGAACCGGTGATTCAAACATATGCTGTGTGATCAAGGAACCATTCATATGTGTTACAAGTTCAGATGGAGCTCAAACAATAGTTAAAACAGATAAATCCTGCCTGAAATTATTTTAGTGCGCTTACTCAGCCAAGGGAGTATGACAGCTAAGGCTGCTCTTTTTTTGCCAAACATGAATAAATAAAAAAAACCTGCAGCCTTTCAGCGTGCAACAGTAGTAGCCTATTTCTCATTTAGCATGATATTAGCAGCATATCACAATGTTTTGTAGCAAGTAGTGAATTATTAACTACAGCAAAAATATCATCTTGGTTTTCCTGGATTAGAACATAATTTGGCAGTATAAAGGAGAGGTGCGAGATATTTAATGATGATTCAGAATGGATCAGACTGAGTTATCCTCACTCTTAGGATCCTTTCAGGGCAAGACTAAGGCTCTTAATTGTAGCCTCACTGAGGGTAGGTTTTCATTGCTGTTAGCCTGACCTTTACCTGACTCTTGTCAGGTTGAGGGTTACAGATAACTAGATGTATTAGCGATTAACTAGCCTGCCACAAGCTAATTCTAGCCTGAAAACTATTGTCTCCTCAGCACTGAACTGTACTGTGGGTACTAGCAGTTTGTGACTTCTGAGGTGACCTAAACCAGCAGAGTAGATGCAATGTAGCCAGGGCTGCCAGGAGACATTGCTGTATGAAGATGGCTGTAGAGGAACTGGCTCACATTCGGCCATCTTAAGCGCAGTAAGCTTTGATCACTATGCGCTTGTACGCACTTATTTAACTGCACTCAAGTCTTTTTCCATTTCCATTTTTTATCATGATCTCATAATACTGTATTTTTAGACCAGGCAGCTGAAAATACAACTGGAGTCCGGATTCTACTTCCAAGTAGGCTGGGAACCCACCTAATTTGCAATTTGATGCTGTCAAGTGTTGTCAGTTTTGCAATACACTCCCACCATTCCTTCATGTATTGACAAGGACAAATTTCAAGGAGAAAGAAAGAAGCTTTTTCAAGTCACTTGAAATTACTGCAATTTACATTGTATCTAAAGCATTCTCTGAACCCTTTATTGGAGAAGCTGAGACAGAGGGAGTCAGAAGGTATGAGGGCAGTAGGGTCATAAAGAAAAAGTAGAAATAGAATAGAAAGAGAAAAGTAGAGAAAAATTTTGCATGCAAAAACACAGACAAGAAACTGCACACACAAAAAAACCAACACAAAAGCAATAAGTTTGCAAGGTCAGAAATGAAACACTTGGATTAAGGCTATGGTTACCCATATAAACAATGCTTTAAATGAATAGCACCTGTTTTTCAAGGCCTGTTTCATAAAAAAAAAAAAAATTGATTGGAACAAATAATTGCACTGTAATTAATTCAATAATCAAATTTCAATAATATCTTTCAAAATGTCCTTTAATACTTCAGATTAGAAAAACTGCCCATTAATTTGAAAGTAGGACCGATTTTAAAATCCTGTTTATATTTGGGTCCCTCATTTAGATTTCCTGATGTTTGAAACTTATTCTGTGGCACAATGTAACAAAGGACAGTAAAGAAATACTTTTTTAAATCCATATTTTTTCATTGCATTCCATTGTCTTTATACTTAGTGCAAAGGGACTGAAAATCTTTCTGTGGAATATGCTGTGGTACAATGTGCAAGTAGCACTATAAGAGAAGACTAGTGAAAGTGGTTGAAAACAGCAGTTAGAATATCAACTTCATTGTTTTGGAAAGGCTTACTGTTGTTTGGGGTTTTTTTATTTTATTTTAAAATAATTCAAGAAAGTTGTCACAGGAAAACATCATTCTATTCACCTTTCATTTCGAAGACAAATATTGTGCAATTCACTTCACCACTGATGTTTTCTGTTGAGAGATCATAGAATCATAGAATGGTTTAAGTTGGAAGGGACCTTAAAGATCATCGAGTTCCAACCCCCTGCCATGGGCAGGGACACTTCCCACTAGACCAGGTTGCTCAAAGCCCCATCCAGCCTGGCCTTGAATGCCTCTAGGGATGGGTCATCCACAACTTCCCTGGGCAACCTGTTCCAGTGCCTCACCACCCTCATAGTGAAAAATTTCTTCCTAATACCTAAACCGAAATCTCCTCTCTTCCAGTTTGAAGCTATTAGCCCTCATCCTATCACTACATGCCCTTGCAAAAAGTCCCTGTCCAGCTTTCTTGTAGGTGCCCTGCAGATACTGGAAGGCTGCCATAAGGTCTCCCTGGGGCCTTCTCTTCTCCAGGCTGAACAACCCCAACTCTCTTGGTCTGTCCTCATAGGAGAGGTACCTCAAGACCTCTGATCATCTTCATGCCCTTCCTCTGGACCTGCTCCAACAGGTCCACGTCCTTCTTATGTTGAGGGCTCCAGAGCTGGACACAGTACTCCAGGTGGGGTCTCACAAGAGCGGCGAGGCAGAATCAAAATCACCTCCCATGACCTGCTGGCTGTGCTTCTTTTGATGCAGCCCAGAGTAGGGTTGGCTTTCCAGGCTGCGAGTGCACATTGACAGCTCATGTTGAGCTTCTCACCCACCAACACCCCCAAGTCCTTCTCCTCAGGACTGTTCTCAATCCATTCTCCGCTCAGCCTGTGTTTGTGCACGGGAGTGCCCTGACCCACATGCAGGACCTTGCCCTTAGCCTGGTTGAACTTCATGAGGCTGGCATGTGCCCACCTTTCAAGCCTGCTAAGGTCCATTTGGATGGCATCCTTTCCCTCCAGCATGTCGACTGCTCCACACAGCTTGGTGTCCTCGGCAAACTTGCTGAGGGTGCACACAATCCCAATGTGCATGTCTCCAACAAAGATGTTAAACAGTACCAGTCCCAGTACTGGCCCTTGAGGAACACCAGGAAAAGTTCACTTTTTGCCACTTGGACACAGAGCCGTTGACCGCAACTCTTTGAGTGCAACCGTCCAGCCAGATTATTTTGTAATGCATGCTACACGTTATAATTCACATCATTATGCACAAAACACTTTGTGAATGCATATTCTCTGCTGCATATACATCTTTCAGTATATTCAGGTCATTTTAGATGGGAGACCATATGGAATGGATCCATTGAATTTTAATTTTGTCCTCTCTTTCCTATCCACATCTGTTCCTCGAAAGTGAAAACAAGAGACTGCAGTGTCATCTTCATAGTTGGAATTCCCAGTAATGCTATGTAATAGTTTGTTGCATGTCTTTGAACATGGATTATAACTGGTGTGGTTTTCTTCTTTTTTTCAGGACAATGTTCTCTTTTAATGTGATACTAAGTGCATGCTATTATATAATAATAGGGAAATTTTGTATAAATCAGTCTTCTGCTGTGAATATATATTTTTAAGTGTGTTTCTGTTGATTGCATTGATTTCTAGGAGACTAGGCTTTTAATTTAGGTGCTTAAAGTCTTCAGTGCCCTTGCCCATCATAACACTTCCTGCAGATGGTGGTGATTCATAGTTGGATCAGATTCTGAGGTCTGTATGGAATAAATGATGAAAGCTGTAGGACCGTAAGACAGATGTTTTCATTATTTTTCATGGTTATGTTAGAAAAACTAAAAATAAAGACTTAAACATACTTGACTCCTAGTGGTAGCTAAGGTGGCTTCATTTCCATTGTCTCTGTTCTATGTGTTCTGTGAAGTAGCAGTTTTGTTTCTGTTATTCATTCACCTTTCAAGGAGACTAAAACTTGCATAAAGGAATGTCAAAGCTTCATATTTTTACTGAATGCAGACTAGGTTTAATTTCCACCTCATTTACCAAGATTTTGTTGTGTATATTTCAGGAGTACCATTCTAAGACACTATAACTTCCATGTATTTCTAAATTCTCATTCACAGTGTGTATTTTGCTTTATGAATTATTTGTTGGGGACAATAAGTTGGGGACAGTATGGATATGTAACATAACGGGATATTCACTGGAAAAACTTACGAAAAACTTGATAGGACACAAGTTCACAAGCTAATTAGGCGAAACTTGGTAGGACACAAGTTCACTAGCTAATAAAGCAAAACGTAGGTCAATGCTATTATTCTGACTGATTTCTTAGGCACACTATGAGCAGATGAAAGTGCAGGGTGAGGCTATTTGCAGCAGATTTTTCCAGAACTGTGTATCTCTAGATATTAACAGAACTGAGTTTTGGAAAATCTAGCTATATAAATTACACTTGTGACTGAAAAAAATGTCAGTGTAATATATTGATTGCCCAGCAGAGGGAGAGCGTGACATTAGAATAGGTACAGTAAACTTGCAAGATTTCTGTGGCAGTGTCCAAGTCTTCTATTGGGTGTAACAAAATTGTTGTTCTCTGCTTTTACTTGCAAACCGTTTGGAAGATTTAATAATTCCTCTCTGCTTTTATTTACCTGGGAACTATGGTTTACTCTTTTCATGTTACATGAAGAAACTGTTTTTTTGGGAAAAAAAAACAACAACAGAGTTCTGTTTTTTATTTTCTTCTACAACAGATATAACTCATGTGGCTTATAGGGAGTAAAAGATAATGTCTTCATTTTGCCAGAAGCACTGTTTATTCAGTAGACCAACATGGGGTGGGTTTTTTTGGCTCTGCACTTGCCTCTGAAAAGATACGGTAAAATTGGACTAGAGGGGATCATGCATGTGGTCATGTCTCGACCTTTGCTTCAAAACAAACGGAACATAGATGCCTGACAACAATAGATCATGACCCACATTGCCTTACCTCTGCATTTTCATCTGGCAATCCATATTTCATAGAAAATGAACTATATTGTTCACACTTTTTTTCTTTACCTAAGAAAAAGTTTAATAAAAGAAATTATACCTCAGCCATCCCTGCCAGACATTTGTCTAGCCTATTTTAACAACTTAGGGAGAGAGCAAACAATGTGCTTTTGTGATTTATATTTGTATAGCAAATATACTATACTACATTTGTTTGGTTTTTTCATTTAGAGTCAGATGTCTCCATAGGAGATGGAAGTGTTGATAACTTGAATGAAAACCTGGGACAGGGCTGCACAACCAGTGATTCAGGTATGTTTCCCTTCTGTTATTTAGTAATTGCAAAATAAGGGTAAGCACTCTGTGAATGGGCTAGAACGAAAATCAGTGGAAGGCTTTCACTGTGAACTGTAGTTCACAGCGTTTAGATGCCAGACTTCCTTCTATTTTGTTGGAAAACAGGTGGCATTTTTATGGGTGTGGACTTAAGCCCCAAGCCCCAAAAGAGTTGATTTTCTGAGATTGTCTGAATAGGTCTCTAGACATCATCATCATACAAAATGGTCAGTGATGCAGAATGATAGAATCACATAGGCTTGAAAGGACTTCCGTAAGTCATCCAGTGCAGTTGCCTGATATTCAAAATGCTGCCACATATATGTGCTTCTTTTGCTCTCAGAGAAGAGCTAGACTGTGCCTGGCCCCTGCACAGGGTAAGTAAGAGGGAATAGCACATGCTTTAGAGGCATCTAAGGGTGAGGAGAAGCATTTCCAGGGTACCTGAAGAACAGTAATGAAGGTCCACTTTGGACCTAACTAATTCAGTAGCCCTATTTGTAAAACAACCTAATCCATAGAGGTTACTATCTGAAGACCTTTGCAAAGCTCACATTTAAACATATGTTCAAGTTCTAAATATTAAGCTAAATATTGGACTGTGTTTTCATATACTTTGCAGACAGATATGAACTTGCTATTTATATACTCTGACCCAATTAAACACTGCTGTTGTAAAAGACATCCCAATTTTTTAATTATTTTTTTTAATCTTAGATTTCAGGCAGAACAATTTTGCAGCTGTCCACCATAGGGAACAGCCTGTGTTTGCCTACACAAAATTCAAGAGAAACCAGTTACCTTTTGGAATATAGCTTTTATAAAGTTTGTGCTGGGACTGTGTCTTGTACAAGGGCTAGAAACAATCTGGGTACCTTTCAGGCTAGCTCTGCCTAATTAAGCTACTATTAGATCAGTAAAGTCAATGTAAATGTTATATATCATGTGCCTGCAAAGTGTTTACTATAAATGCTTTTAAAATAGTTTCAAGCTTTTTGAATATTAAAATCCAAGTATTTTATATGTACCCAGGAAATTCAGGATAGCTGAGATCTAAATTGCTACCCTATAGCTAGGGTTTTAGTCTACGTATTGCTAACCCTGAAAAATATACTTTGCACTTCTGCATCAACTGAGGTGACTCATCAGTCACATTGTATTTTTTTCCTCACTGTGTCACATGAAATATCTGGGCACAGAAACTTCTTGTTTTGTGGACAGTCACACTGTATCAGTTGGTCAGGCTGATATAGGCTACTGCTTTGTGGCAGCACATAAATATGTATGGCCTGATCCTTTAAGATTCCTGAAAAGTACATTGGGCATTGGTTACGTCCCGCAGTCTAGCAGAAAACAATAAATCACTACATTAATGGGAAGAATCCAGAATAGATTTGTTTTTTCCCCAATGTTTACTTGCTGTATGTTCTGTTTACATGTGGGCTTTAAAACCAACTAGTTAAAATGTTTTTAAAAACATTCATGCTTTTTAATCATGCCTAGTAAACTCAGTGAGAGCAACTATGAGAAAAAACCTACGGAGGTACAGATGGACTTTGTGATATTTATGGATTTTATAATTTGAAATTTTGCAGTAAGGCAGTTATATTAACAGATGTTTGGATAGTGTCTTAATGAATTGACATGATTTGGATTTTAATGCAAAGAATCATGTGGATTGAGTTGCAGTTTTCTGTGGAAGGATCATTTTACATTTAAGAAAAATGGTAGAATTAGGACAATAGAAGAATAATTATAATGTTTCTTTTAGCCCAGAGCCGCAAATTCATGTCATCTTTGTATGAAGGCAGACAACTTCCCTGAAGTTATACTGTGCACGATGAAAATTCTTTAATGGCATCATATCCTGTGAAAGATTCCTGTATTAGCCTTTATCTAAACGGGCCGAGGAAGCTAGGAGAGAGCTAGGTTAAATATTTTTTAGGCCTGGACTGTTAATTGAGGATGTTAAGAAACTGAAATTTAACCAAACAGATGGGTGATAAAGTGCTAGTTTCAATATGATTGAGTTTAGCCAAGCAGAAAGCAAACAACGTTCTTCCTCAAAAGAGAGTAGTAGAAGTCAGATAAGTAACAGCAAGTACTCTCTGGTGTGGATTTCCCTGTGTTCCAGGTAGTACTGCACTCACACTAAAAGGCAAAGCAAGCAAAAAAACACTTAAGAATGGCATTCGGATGTTTCCATCAGCAGTATTTTATCAAGCTTCATTACTTTTTGTTAGTTTAATTTTATTTAATGGAATCAGGGATACTAGAAAAATACACTTATTTTGTGTGTAATGTATCAGTGATAATAAAATCCTCATGATTCTTCATTTAATGATATCATCAGGAAATAAAACTATAGTGGTTTTTTCCCCGCATTTTTAGCCTAGTAGAATGAATTTGTGCCTTTTCTTCACTGAGGACGGTTAATGCTTAAATAGATCTGTAGAGAAAAAAAAAAAGCCCAAAACTCCATTGAAATAAATCCTTCTGATATTAATGCATCTAATTTCTGACTTCTTAAATATATGTAAACTCAAGAGACTTGATATGATTTTCTTACTGCCTGAAATAATTCAACACCATTTTTCCACTTTTAATTTTGGAAGGTTGTTTGTTTCACCTGTGAGCCGTAGGTCTGAAATCTCTGCCATTGCATTTTATATGATAGATGGAATGTTTTGGCCGTCAGATGGCAAGTATATATGGCTTTTTAGTGAACAGCTTGATTGCATTATGTATGAGTCAGTCTGGAAGCAGTGCAATCTACCATGAATAGGTGTGATACATTCTGCAGTTAGCTCTATCTTGTATGGGCAATTGAATTTTCTTATCTGTTTGATCTTTATACTTTATAACTCCCTTCATCATTTTTTAAGTGGTCCCTATCTCTTTTTCTTTCTATGGCTCCTTTTTTTCATCCTCTGGGAAGTATTTAATAAGGTAGCTCACTTGCAACCAAATAAATTTCAGTACTGATAAAAGAGAGCATCACATAAGATTGGGTAGATTATAAATAGTGCAGCTCTGAACAAAACCTTTGTTGGTTCCAGTGCTACTGAACTGTATCATTTGAATTCACACATAATAATAGTCATGTTAACATAGATGGGTGAATACACACCGTGGCTTATTCCACCTACCCTCGTTGGTGACTGGAAGTAAGCAGTTCTGATCCAGGTCCACAGAGCAGCATTGCCTATGCTAATATGCCCTGTTTCTGTTTATTTACGAGATGCTTCTGATAGTGAATTAGTATTTTTCCCTTTAACATTTGTTGAGTATTCTGATAAATGTTCTATGCCTCCTGTTTGCTACTTATATTTCTTTGTACCCTTAGATGAAGATGAACTGGAAAGCAGAGCTTCACCTGAGCCAGATCTGATCCTGAGAGATTACCAGATGGAAGTTGCAAAGCCAGCACTGAATGGGGAGAATATCATAATATGTCTGCCTACAGGCAGTGGTAAAACCAGAGTGGCTGTTTACATTACCAAAGATCACTTGGATAAGAAGAAAAGAGCATCAGAGCTTGGAAAAGTTATAGTACTTGTTAATAAGGTATGTTGGACCATTTTAAAAGAAATAGTATTTTTCAAACCTTATACACTGTTAATATAGAACTTGTGAAATGAATATAAACACATTTCTCAGCTTCTCCAGATGTAGCTGTGTTTAAAGGCATACAGCTCTAGACTGTCATCTCCATTGCACCTTCATCATGGTGCAAGCATGAATGATTTTAGTTTACCCTGGTGCAAGTGTAAATTTAGATGTGCCCCTAGTAACCACATTATTGGAAAAAATGCAATTTCACGTTAGAATGAATAGAACTAAAATAATATTTTAAAAAATAAAAATATTTTTCACATTCTGTGTTTGGATTTGGTAACAAAGGCCACCTAATGAGTCTCACAGTAGTTAGGGAATATTCTGTCAGATTTTCTGATAATTGCTGTGATTTTGACAGTTAAATTTCACACATATAATATAAATTAATCTTCTATTGTAATATTAAAATATAGAAATACATTTAAGAATTTTATTAAAAGAATAAAACATAACCATATCCTCCTATAAGAATAAAATTGATAGCATGTTATAAGCTCAGTTAAAGAGCCAGAGCATGCATGGTTTATTTATTCTTTCTAAGGCACAGTTAATCCAAAGTTCTTGGGACAAAAAGGTTTCGTAGGAGCAGTTGGAGGGAAGGGGTTGGTTTGGGGATTTTTATTGCTTGGTTTTGTTTTTTGTGTTTTGTGGGGGTTTTTTTAATCCTACCCTGCAGTGAATAAGGGGATGTTTGCTTCTTTAAAAAAGTATATTTTTCATAAAGTGTATGTTGACCTAATAACATTTCTGGCAAACAGGCATGTATTTTTAATCCTATGTATGTTCTGGTTTAAATTCTTTGGAAACCTTTATTCAGGTACCATTGGTAGAACAGCATTTACGAAAGGAGTTTAATCCATTCCTGAAGCGTTGGTATCAGGTTATTGGTTTAAGTGGTGATTCTCGGCTGAAAATCTCATTTCCTGAAGTTGTCAGAAGAAATGATGTCATCATCAGTACAGCACAGATCCTTGAGAATTCACTGCTAAATGCAGCCGAAGAAGATGAAGAAGGTGTCCACTTATCAGGCAAGTTTTTAGTTCTGAAATTTTTACAGGAGTGCTAAAAGTATGTCTCTATTCTGGAAAATTGCAGAGTAAAAATGTGCCACATTCAGTAGTTAATGTTTTTTCAGTTGACTGGTTTCATAAATGCAAGCTATACTTAGAGTCAAAACCAGATCTTAGTTAATGAGCATGCAGTTTTTCAAGCCAAATTAGATTCTTACAATTCATTTGTACTAAGTATTTTTTATGCTTCCTATTTTATCTAGCTCAAGCACAACTTTGTGCAAATGCAGCTGTACTGCAAGCTTGGTAGAACATTGAGTTATATCAGATAGAAGCCATAAACAGGATGAGAAAAAAATTATAAAAACTCAAACGTAGTCAGTAGTTTGAGAAATACAATGGAACACAAGATAAAAGCCAATCTTTTATAAACGTTGTATTCTTCAAACTCTTATTATTTTTCTAACTTACAGAGATGGTATTACTTATTACTGTATCTCTCTGAGGTTGGCAGATATAATGGTCTCCTACAACCGATGAAGAAATTTGAAGAAAATGAAAGATATAAGATGAGATGAGGTAAAATTGTTTGTCCAGAATCCTAAAGTGCCACGCATCTATGGGAGATCAGAAAGGAAATCGTATTATCTGCCAGTGACATACAAATAATGGAACAGCCCATGGCTTCAGCTCCAGGATTTGGGCTGCGGTGATTCTCCTGTGTGAGATGTTAACTTCTCCCCCTGTCTGCACACAGTCAACTCTTTTAGATCGTGCAGGATGAATATCAGAGCTATAATATTCAAAATAATGGATCTGAGATAAAGGAAGTACTTCTCTGGGTGTTACAAAGACAGCAGAGAAACCTGAGGAGTCAGTGTCTGTCAATGCCTAGTGCTGACTGGAGTACTGCTTGATCCAAACTAACTCCTGCAGAGCTACTTGGGTACCTCAGAATTGCCTCCCCTCCTTCAGAAGGCCTTTTTATTAACCTAGCCAGAGTACCAGAGATTTTCGTGTATTTATTTCCTTTCCACTACACCTATGTTAATAAACCTTCCCAAATCTGAATCATTTGGGAATGCCATATAGAGGCACCTGAATATTTCTACAGGAGCTGCTGATGTGATCAGAATTGGGCTGAGTCCCAACCAGCTTGTGTAACTAAGTGGTTTTTTGAATAGGTTTCACACCTTGCAAAGCTTTCTTCATAAAGAGTTATATTTTTTCCAGAACTACGGTAGCCTTGCAAACAGGGCCATGTTTCCATGCTGTTACACCTGTGCTACTAAGTTCAGCTGAACTGAAGCCAAGCAAGCCTGAACAGAGCCAGCTGCGTTTTTATGGCTATGACTTGGTTAACTCGCAGCCTGTATAAACCATCCTAATTAGTTACGTGGGTTTTATTCCTAATTTCTGTTCATACTTCCTTCATGTGTTTCCACAGAGGTCTGCATTACATGTAACACAGAATCCCAGCCTCAAGGAAATGGAGGGGACTCCTTTAGCTGCATTTTACCAGGTGTTTACCCTCTTTATCAAGGGCTGAAGTCACTGTGTGGGCTTCCTAAAAGCTGTGTATCACTTTCTTAGTAGAAGCACATCTCTTCTGGTGCATTAGGTCTTTCCTGAGTAATGAGAGGAATATGCATTACAGAGATGATGGTCAAAATCAAAGGGATTAATTTCATGTTGGTAAAATATCTGCAAAACTGCTACTGAAGTCTTGCAATACGTAGAAAACATAGAAATAAATATAAATTTAGGTTTGAAACCACATCAGTCCAAACTAGCTTCCTGAACCACTCGTGAGAAGACAATCAGATTTCCCCAGTGACATAGAATTACAGAATAGTTTGGGTTGGAAGGTCATCTAGTCCAACCCCCTGCAGTAAGCAGGGACATCTTCAAATAGGTTCCTCAGAGTCCCATCCAACCTGACCTTGAATGTTTCCACGGATGGGGTATCTACCACCTCTCTGGGCAACCTGTTTCACCACCCTCATTGTAAAAAAATTCTTCCTTATATCTCATCTAAATCTATCCTTTTTCAGTTTAAAAACTATTACCCCTTGTCCTGTCACAACAGGCCCTGCTAAAAAGTTTGTCCCCATCTTTCTTACAAGCCCTCTTTAAGTACTGAAAGGCTTAAAGATCTCCCTGGAGCCTTCTCTTGTCCAGTCTCCACCTTTATTTAGGTTCTTCAAAGATGAAGTTACATGATACTTTCTCCAGCAGAAAGGCCAACTGAGAATGTGCTATCTCTCTGTTAGTTTCCAACTTCTGCTACCAGTTGTTGCAAACTCATTTGTAGTGATGCAACAGTTTGAGCACGCTAATACGTAAACAAGATCATGGAAATCGTCTGGATTTAAAAAAAAAAAAAGTTTAACCCTGATCATTTCAGTGACCTGCTTTACAGTCATTTCCACAAACATTTGTCATATTGTAGGAAACAATGTCGAATTGTAGGGAATTCAACACGCAGTTTATTGGCCAGCTAGGGGACCAGTGGGAGCTCCATAAACCAATTTTGCTGTTAGAGAAACAGAGAAATGTTCATGAGTCTTTCAAATCAGAACCTTGAAATATATGTCACTGTCTGCATATGCATATAGATTAAGGAGATGTTTTCTGTGTGTGTAATAAATTTAAAACAAACAAAAAATATTCTTAATTTTCCTTATCATACAATACTCTACCTGTTGCATGTAAATATGATCTGACTAAAAAGCACATAATACATCTCTAAAACTTCCTCAGCTGCAAAGGAGGGATGATTGGTAGTGCTCTCACCATCTGCTTGTTCTTTCCAATGACACATCCATAAAGTAATATAAATCATTTTGTTGGACAGGAATAGGGAGGAAATCTCTGTGTTGCTATAAAGTGGAAGCATATTTTGATCAGGACAGGCCTTTCTAGAATGTTTGAAAGGCCTCTAAATGTTATGTATCTTTTCATAAACAAACTGTGTATTTTGTCAGATACAGTTGTGGATATAAAAGATAGGATTGAGTTAAACTACGGTATGTTCTTACTACCGGTTATTAAAAATGTCTCTCTGAAATTCTTTATACCGTCAGACTGATTTTGCAAAAATAGAAAAGCTTCCTACATTGCATGAAATGCAAAAGTCCTCGACACATCAGGAGTGCAGCAAAGATTCCATGGTCTATGAAATATGTACAGCTTCCATCTACGCTTTCCTCCAGTGCTACAAAATTTCCTAATACTTCAGGGCTCCAATAAACTGACTAGTTCTCGTCAACAGTGTCCTTACCTGTAAGAAGATTTACTCACACAAATTCTACGTTTGAAAGGAAATTAATCATTTTTAGGTTTTGGTTGTGTTTTTTTTTCCAGATTTTTCACTCATCATTATCGATGAGTGTCATCACACCCAAAAGGAAGGTGTCTACAACAATATAATGCAACGTTACTTAAAAGAAAAGAGGAAGAACAGGAAGCTGGCAAAAGAAAACAAACCACTGATCCCACAGCCTCAGATTCTGGGACTTACAGCCTCACCTGGTGTAGGAGGTGCAAGATCCAACTCAAAAGCTGAAGAACATATTCTGAAAGTAAATAGCCCTCATATTTGCAAATCACCAAAGGGATATTGTCTTGTTTAAGTAAAACTTTTAATGTCAATGTTCAGCTCCAAATATATAATGTGATTTTTTTTTTTCTGTGTAAATGGGAGTTCAACTCACAGCCATTCAGCAAATTGATCCACTGCAAATTAATGGAAATCCATGTACAAGTAAAGGTTACTTTGCAGGAAAGTAGAGTTGCTGAAAAGGGAAATAAAATGATTGCCTCACTTGAAAAACAAATTAGCAAGTTAAGATCAGAGGCAAGAAATGCACAAAATAGTGAGGTTTTTTAGTTAATAAAAATCTTATTTTTCCATTGCTGAATTAGAATTTACTGTGGATTCCTAAATCATAGAGAGATCACAGTATTTTATATCTGTATTTCTGGAGTGACTAAGCTGGGCTTTTGTGTGGATACAGGAAAGTGAAAAACAAAGTTAAATACTGAAACAAGCAGAAACCATTTGTGAGATACAGGTAGCATATAAATGTTTTTCTTTACAGTAGTTAGAGTTACTGATTGAGAGGGGAGTATTGTGTAGTTGCCTAAATAACTGACTCAAGATAATTGGTTAAATTCTATACTTAAACATTTGTGATTCTAAAGAAACTGTTTTACTTGAAATTCAATGGACTTACAGTAGTAATACAAAAGTAGAATTTAGCCCAGTACGCCAGTGAAAACTTCTGACTAGCAAATTGCACAAGAAGAGAATGTGATCTTGAATAGGTGATGCTTGCAAGAAGCTTTTATGCTGTATTGAGCTAGATAGAATGGTGAGGTATTTTGAGACAAAAACTTTCTGGCAATGGAAAAAGCAGAGAATTCCTTTTCATCAGCTCTGAAATCTTAATGATAGGGTGCTGGGTTTTGTATCTAAAGAAATGTAATCTGAATATGCAAGCTCAAATAGGTAACTACTGCTAAAGACATTAAAAAGGTTTCTGCCAGACTTCCTTTCCTGTTTTCTCTGCTCATGAAAATTTTAAGGTTTCCCCTTACTACTTTAGACTTAGTGACTGAAATGTAAATATTTTCTTCTTGGAAGAGTTCAAATGAAAAGTCCAGTTCAGTCGTTTAGTTAGCACAGAAATTTTCTCTATCTTTTCCTGTTCCAAGAAACATAATTTCAAATTATTTTCTACAGTCATGATCAGCTCTTACTTTTATAATTACTTCTTAACTTTTATTTTCTTTTTTTTTTTCTATGTCACCATTGGTGTTGTTTATTTGTTTTACACTGCAAAATCTTCTCTTCCAAAGTATTGATGGTATATATTTCCTTTTCAAAATACCTGTTTTGCACCCTGATCTGCAAGTTTTTTCTAGTGTGCAAGGATCACTTCTGGCCTAAACAGTAACTTGTTCAGCTTATCTCAAATGTTTTTCAAAGATTTGGCCTTTCTTATGCTGATAGTGTCTGTATCCAATTTTTGTAGGAAGAAAATGAAATTATATTAAACCCAGTATCTGAATGAGAAGCTCTGTTGCATTAATTCCATTTTCATGTGCAATAACTCATTAAACATTAAAAGAAGTAACATTTTGTTTTCTCCCAGATCTGTGCCAATCTTGATGCACGTAGAATCATGACTGTTGAAGAGCATGCCTCCCAATTGAAGAATCAAGTGAAGGAACCGTATAAGAAGACTGTGATTGCAGATGACAAAAGAAGGGTAGGTTTTCCCAAACAACTCAGTGTTCAAGTTATATTGCCCTTTAAAAGTGTGTTGTATGGTATCAAAACCATTTGGCTAATGTTCTTTTTCCATAGATTTATTGTGATCCATAGTGCTAATTTGAATATGTGTATATTTATCTGCTGTTTCCCTCTGTATGCAAAAGTATCAGTAAAGTCAAACAGACCTAATTTTTACAGATTTGAGTTATATTTTTGAGATATCTGGTCAAAAGACCTTCTGAACCATAGTGGAAATGTTTATATTGGGGTGACATTGTATTCACAAAAATACATTATTTCACAGTGTAATTCTTGTAATTTTCTGAACTATTTATTTCCATAACTCTAAATACACTTAGCAACCTTACTTGTTTTTTAATTTAAGGTCTAACATTTTAAAAATTACTTAATGTGTTACTAGCTAGAAGAGTTCGGGCCAATGTTTTCGTTGCCTGAAGATGCTTATTTACTTTGGTAATCAATTTATTTCTAGGATCCATTTAGAGAGAAAATTACTGAGATCATGAGAGACATTCAAAACTATTGCCAACTCTATCCAAAATCTGAGTTTGGAACTCAGCCATATGAACAGTGGGTGATTAGAGAAGAGAAAAAAGGTAACCGTGTAGCCAAAATATCCTACCTTTGGATTTGTTTGGGTTATTCTATACACAGGCATGATTTTGTATTTTTTGTTCACTTTTAGCTGCAAAAGAAGAAAAACGTAAGGAACGTGTCTGTGCAGAACATTTGAAAAAATACAATGATGCTCTCCAGATAAATGACACCATTCGAACAGTGGATGCATACAATCACCTAAATAACTTTTATAAGGAGGAGAAAAGTAAGAAGACAGTAAGGAGCGACGATGATGATGATGATGAACCAGCAGTATCAAAACAGGATGAAACAGATGAATTTCTAATAGGTTTATTTCATGGTAAGTTTGAAATACATTGTGATAGTTAATATTTTAAATCCATAGGGCCAGCTAATATGCACTAATATAATTTGCATAGTCCCATTAATTATTACATCTTAGAGATTGCCATGTTGTTTATTATGACAGTATCTGGATGTCCCAGTTCATGGAGTATGGAGTACAGTAAACAACATCATAGTGTGATCATGTCCCAACATGTGGTAGAAGTTCTTCAGCTTTGGCCCAAGGGCACTTTATTTTTGCTGATAGTAAAAACCATTCTCTGCTTTTCTCCAATGAAGTGTCCCTGAGGACAGTCTGACAGACAGATAGAACATGTATTCCAGTAGACACTCTTGAGGGGTAAAAAGTTGAGCACGTGGAAGACAAAAGTAATGAAATGATGAGTTTTTAACTAACCCTTTCTACCAAAGTTTGTTTGTTTGTATACTAAGAGATGGGAGTGATGACCTTGAGTAAGTGTCAGGTGAAAAGCAGATAGTGAGAGAATTAAACAGAGGATTAAATTGCAAAGATCAGAGTTAGTTCCCTTTTTTTCAGATCATTCACCTTGGAACTGGGATTCATTCATGTGTCCTTGACACACAGATGTTTGTTGCATCTCTTTTTCCCTTACTGCCTTTACAATGAGGAAGAGGTAGACAAGTTTGCTCCCGCTGCCTATGGCTCCTGGATGCTGCAAAAGAAAACAGATTTTACTGCAGCATGTATCCCAACTTCAAGTATTCTATGAATTACAACTTTAGAATGCCATTGTTAAGAAATGCAGGAAATGTTAAAAAAGCTTTTGAAAAAATAGATTACGTTAGATAAAGTCATCGTGTTTTTTAATGACTCTTCATACCTGTCTTTATGCTCCATTATTTAGAATTTCAATATTGAGCTGTTGGTGAGAACCAAAAAGTTAAACTAACTAAAAAATGAAATGGAGTTGTGTAGATTGCTTTCATTTTCACAGGTAAATGAAGTTCCAAGAACCTGATACTGAAAAATAAATTATACTCCAATTTAATTTTACCTCTGAAGGTGTCAGCAGTAATGGAAGGAAATCTATTGAATTTCTATTTCCAACTTTTAAGACCAGAGTTCATCTTTGGGTGATAAACTCACTGCAGGCCTTAGTGTAGGTTTAACTAAGGGGGAAAACTGTGGGAGTTTGTTGTATCTACCTACTTTTTGTATGTATTTGTATGTGCTTAATTACATTCTAAAATACGAATAAGACTGTAGTCAGAAAGTCACTGCCTAAGTGGTGTAGTAGTTTGTGATACAGACTGCCGCTGCATTGGTAAAGGTGCAGTGCAATAATCTGCCCTGGGTGATGACATCAGAATGAGTGTAATGTCTTAACACGCCAGTCCCGCCCTTAAAGTGTTATTATTGTGTTTGCATGATCATCTGACAATTACATAGGCTTTTAAATATCAGAAATTTAAAAAAAAAGAAAAATTAAAGCACATGAGGAATCCTCCCTGGTCATGCTCAATAGTGCCTAAGAGAGTCATTCATTTAAATGTCATTTATTGAAATGTCTTCAAAAGCTGCAGTACCGACAACAATATGCCCATCCTGGTGTGTATTACATTGCATGTTTCTCGTGAGGATTCCTGCTCTAATGAATGTCCCAAGGACAACTTACGTGTAAATTTATAAAACACCTGTCAGCGCTGAGGGCTGTGCATATTAATCTGTTTCTCCTTGTATGACGTTTTCAGTTATTTTAAAACTGTTTTGCAGGTAATGTAAGCTGTGATTTAGTTCTTTAATACAGTGCACTTAAACTCTGTACCACTCCTGGTATGCCGACAGGGTTTTTTCTTTTGCTTAGTCTCAGCATGAAATATAGGCAAAGTGTATGTTAAAAGTTAATGGTGATTTATTTTGATTGATTAGTGTGTTTTTAATTAATGTAAACTCACCTGAAAAATAAATTGGTGTGCTACAGCTCTTCAAACTGAATGTGAATTAGACATGCTGGGAGAATTATATAGAAAGCTGCTCTTTGCTTTGTTTTTTTCTAGAGCTGTTATTTTATATGGTTACTTTTTCTTAATTTACATCTGCTATTTTTAAAGCAAAAAAGAAACAGCTCAAAGACTTGGCTAGAAAGCCAGAATTTGAAAATGAGAAGCTAATACAGTTGCGAAACACTTTAATGGAGGAGTTCACGAAGACTGAAGAACCTAGAGGAATCATTTTCACAAAGACTCGGCTAAGTGCCTTTGCTCTATTCCAGTGGATTAAGGATAACCCAAAATTTGAAGAAGTGGGAATTAAGGCCCATTATCTTATTGGTGCTGGACATAACAGTGAAATTAAACCCATGACTCAGGTACAGAACTACACACTACAGCATTCAACTCTCATACATGTTTTGAGAAAACAGCTTGTTTTAGTACTAGCACAATGAACTGAAGTTTGGAGCCCAGAGTTCTGGTTTCATACCTGCTAGGAACTTACCATCATAAGCTGCAGGACAGGTGAATAACAATGTCAGAATAATTTTATTTCCACAAGAAACAAGCTTTTTTGGTTTTGAATTCTATGGAAATAGGAGTAACAGGCAGCCATTTCCTAGAGGAGTATATAGTCAAAAGGGACACAAATTGTAGTGGAACATAAGAAGAAAAAGTGAACAAAATGGCAATAGCAAAAAATGTGATAGTTAAATGAGTTTATATTCATCAGGACAACAGTAATTCAAATTATATTTTAGTTGCAGAATTGAAAAATAAAATTAATTACAATGTTGATTATGCCTGTCTTTTTGTGATATCATTGCTTAATCAACTTATACCAGTTTATATGCATGCTTCACACTGACGCATAATCATTGAAAGAGAATTTGCCAGAATTTGCAATGAAAATTTCACAATTGATCACTCAACAGTCTGTCTCGTACCATTGTGTTGACTTCATACACAACATCTCCCTGATGATTTATACCAACATTTTCAAAACAAGGTACCTCAGTGTCCTAAAACCTCTCTTCTATTCTGCTTTTTACTCCCCACAAAATTGCCACTTCAGCATTTAAGCAAAAATGGTGTGGTTTACTGCTGGGCAGAGTCCATTTCCCTCAGCTGTTCTCAGTTTCAAAAGAAAAGTTAGGAATTATTCTCTTAAAATGTTGCTCGTGTTCTATGAAAATTAGGTATGTAATCTGTACACCATATTGCACAAACAAAACAATAGCCTCTACATTTTGAAGCTGAATATAGCAAATAAGAAGTTTCTGTCCTTCTGCTCAAACTTGTCTGAAATACCCAGCTAATTAAGAAGTCCATGTTTTGGATGCGTTAGCTTTTTAAGCGTATCATTGCTGTGCTTTTTGATGCTCCCCAGATCACTAAAATTATGGTCCCCATTTATTATGGGGAATTTTAAGTGCGTTGGAACTTGACTTGGAAGTGCTGAAGTCTGTACTTTAAGCTGAAATTACTGAAGTGGTAGAAATCCAGAACCTTTAAATAACTACTTAAAGAATTTGAAAATGATAGAACTAAAAACTGCATTGTCAAAACTCCTAGCACCTATGACATGGGCTACAAAATTCCAAGATCAGTTACCTTAAAAAGACTGGCTTCTGCTCCTTCCTCCCTCAAAAAAGGTGTTGAGCCCCTATTACATTCAATAGGAACTCCTTGTTTGTAATCTTAAAGATACATAAATGCAATTGTTGAAGCCACTGATGTTCGGCACTCCACTCTGAAATGACTGGACTATAATTCCTTAAACCTCTTAATTAGAATAAACTGATGACAGAAACTAATAGTGAAAGTTAATATACTGATTTTTATTTTTTTAAATTTACAGAATGAGCAAAGGGAAGTCATTGAAAAATTCCGAGGTGGAAGTGTAAATTTACTTATTGCTACTACTGTAGCCGAGGAAGGCCTAGACATCAAAGAGTGTAACATCGTTATTCGCTATGGCCTCGTCACCAATGAAATTGCTATGGTTCAGGTATGAGTTTACTGCATACATAACTTACTTTTAAAAGTGCTTTTCTGTCTCAATATGCAAAAAGTGAATCATATACCTGGGCTTTGGAGGTAATTTTGAAATACTTGCATAGTAAGAGAAAATGTTCTTGCAACAAGGTTCATTTCCTGTTGCCATCCTCAGTTTGCAATATAAAATTTGCCTCCACGTGTAATGGCGTAATATCAATTTAAAGCTCTACACAAACAGTAAGGTCTCTTATAGAAAAGGTATATGAATATAATCAGCAGACCGGTTGATATAAAAGACATTTGTACCAGCAACACCTAAAAAGAGATAATTGCATATCAGAATACCAGTTTGTCTATGTTCTCACTTAATTTGTGAACACAAATATTTAATATTAATATTAATATTAATATTAATATTAATATTTAAATGTGTGCTTGGTTTTGGTGACAAAATACAGTTTCTGCCTTGCAAAATGTTATGCTAATCATAAATCTCCTGAGTACTATTTCACAGGTATCTTTAATGATAATGCAGACACAGTATGTGGTATTCACTGATTCTTTTTGCGCCTGAGTTAAGTGGGGAAAAATGCTCTGTGGGGACACTGCATAAGGAACAGTATATGTCTTCCATTACAAAACTAGGAACAAATGTTGTGCAGTGTTGTAGGGAACATTGTGCTGTTCATGTTGAACTCCTTGCAAACTGTAGGCTCGTGGTCGAGCTCGAGCTGATGAGAGCACCTATGCACTTGTGGCTTCGAGTGTCTCAGGAGCTGTTGAACGTGAAGATGTTAATATTTTCCGTGAGAAAATGATGTATAAGGCCATTCAGCGTGTCCAGAACATGCCGCAGGAAGAGTATTTAAAGAAGGTATTTACTGCAACTCTTCACTTTCTCTTTAAAGAAGACTGATTTATATTGTAAGGAGTACTTTCTGTTTGAAATCTACTGAGGGAAGGAAAACTTAAATTAATATTAGCTACTACATATGGCCTTGAATCCTTCTTCCAATATTTGTTTTATAATCTATGTTTTCTGGTCCCTTAGAAAAGTCTGCTTTCCTTTTTGTAAGGGGGGAAAATTGACTAGAAGTCATGTTGTCTGTGTACTCAATAAAATAACTGAGAAAGAAAACTATTACTGTCACTCCACCAGAATGTCACAGTGCTCTTACTGATCTATTTCTAGATTCAGAATTTGCAGTTGCAAAGCATAGTGGAAAAACAAATGAAGGCAAAGAGAGATCAGCACAAAACATACAAAAAAAATCCTTCACTAGTAAAATTCCTATGCAAAAATTGCCACAAGCTGGTATGTTCTGGAGAAGACATACAAGTTATTGAAGACATGCATCATGTCAGTGTGAAAAAAGACTTCCAGTAAGTGTTTATGAACTACTTTATCTCTTTCAGGCAAAACCAGATTTTCTCTTCAGCAGGGCTGTCCATGTCTTATAACCCTCTAGGCCCTGTGAGGGAAAAAAAAAGAGACGCTTATTCCAATATTATCAAGTCCTGGGCTCTATGGAGTTTACAGTTAATGAGTTTGAACAAAATGTTTGTTCTTACCCCTGATTTTGAGATGACCAGAGTTTGACACTTTGGAAAAAGATAAAGGTTCTGTGATAGTATTAACTAGGTCACTCATTGTATAATATGGTATGTATTCTACAGTGTAACTAACCAAAGATGAATACCAGTTACCCACATACTTACACCAGTAACAGACCCAAGATAAGAGTTTGACTCAAACAACATATTGGCCATGAGCTGTGCATTTACAATTTTATATTTAGAGGATGTTCATACTGGTGACACATCCCTTTTATTTCTCCGTTGCAAGAGATGCCGTCTAGTTTGCTAAACATTTATGTTAAACTGTGGTTTTCAGTGCCATAATGGCAGGCGTTGACTTTCTCTTCCCACTCATAACGGAAATTAAGAGACCAAGAAAATGTTTTAATTCAACTTCAGTTCTACTACACTAAATTTGTAATGTGTATTGCAGATTATAGATCAGTCATGCTTTGCTAATTATATAGCAGACACTATCAAACCAAGTTACTGCCCTCCAAAGTTCTCATTTCTTTGAGACATATCTCTGGTATAATTTGTAAAGACTTTTTGAAGAGTTAATGAGAAATTAGTACTCATACGTTGAAAAAATGAAAATTGAGCACAGCCCTAAACGTTAAACTGCTTTTACTGTGGAACTGTCTTGTCAGCACAGTGTTATCAGTCAATTCAAACTACAGGGTAATAATTTGTATAACCCTTCAGTACAGGCTGATGGTAACCTTCAAGATCAAGTGGTCCCTAAACTAAACGATGTAAGAATGTGCACATACTCTGCAGCTTGGTATAGTCAGAGCCAAATGATTCTGTTAAGGGGTAAGGTTGGACTACAGGGAATAAAAAGCAAACCTCTAACTTTCAGGTATCATTTCTTTGACAGCTCCATGGCACCTGAAAAAAAGAAGCTAGATCTATCCCCTATTATAACAGAGAGCCTGCTGCTCCTACTTCAAAATGTCTGAGGGAGGATGCAGCTCCTGAAATGCTACGAAAGGAGGCATGGAGTACAGCTGTATTTCATCATTACTTAGGAGCATGAAATAGAACCTTGCATTTTCTCCAACTCCTGAACGTGCACAAAAGTCAGACAGTTAATGACCTTTTAGGTTTCATATCTGACTTCAGCAATTGTAGTCACTGTGTGTTTAAGGCTATATGTAGCATTGAATGACCAATGTATTCTGATACACACTTTCTGACTGTTTTTCAGAACTCTTTACAATACAAGAGAAAATAAGACACTGCAAGATAAGCATGCTGATTACCAGGCAAATGGGGAAATTATATGTAAAGATTGCGGACAAGTGAGGAACAACTTATTTTCATACTTCGTTGTTGTTGTTGTATTTATTTCTGTCTAATGATCTTGTCTATTTTATCTGAAACGTAATTTCCTTCTACTTGCAGGCTTGGGGAAATATGATGGTTCACCGAGGTCTTGACCTGCCTTGTCTAAAGATTAGAAATTTTGTGGTTGTGTTTGAAGACAAGAAAACAACGAAGCAAATTTTCAAGAAATGGGGAGAACTGCCCGTCAAGTTTCCTAGTTTAGATTATGCGGCTCATTGTCCTTCAAGTGATGAAGATTAATGACTCAGAATGAAAATAAAAGCCCTTTCAACTTTTGTCTAACTGCTGATTAGAAAGTCCTCTGTCCCATAAAGACTGCTACATCATAAACACTGTGAAAGCTCCTGGGCATGAGAAAACCATTTTGAGGAGAAAAAAAAACAAGGAAAGAGAAGGACGAAGTCACATGGCTGCTGTCTGACATGTGGTACTCCAAGGCAAAGAAGACGAACAAATACATTGCATTCATGTGTATCCATGAAACAAATTCCTGATCAACTCACTACAGTCTGTTATGGGGTGACAACACTGTCAGAAGTGTGTTAGGTGACTTGTCATCAAGCACAGAACATAGGACAGACATCTTGAGATTTGCCATGGTGATTATTTTCTGTTTTTCTTTCTGCCACAACCCTTTTCAAGATAGTGTGTGTCAAAAGAGGAGCCATGTAAAGAGAACAGATTAGCTGTTATTTCTGAATCATTGTTGCTTCACCAGTGTTTTCAAGACTGAGTTCTTCCCCTCTTATGCTTAGCTGTAAGCTCATACATTTTGACAGACTAAAGTTAAGTTTCCATTAAAAGACATTTCAAAAAATCAAACCCTTAAACTGACTTGAAATTGATTATTTTAATTTCCAAGAAGCACAATGCCAAGTGACTTTCTGTGTGTTAGTTTCATGGGATTGTTAAACTGGCTATATAATAAGGTGCGTATTTTTTTCAATAAATTACTATAATGATTAACCTTTACCAACTGTGATACTGTTTATTCTCTTTCACTGTAATTATTTTGACAATAATAATGCCACAGTTTCACCCTAGCAATTTAACGGATAGTGGTATTCTGTCTGTAAAAATAGCATAATGTGTCTCCGTATTTATCTCATTGACAGATTTTCCCCCCCCCTATTTGCAAGTAAGATATTGGAGAGTGGAAAGAAGGTCTGTTTGTTGTAACAGTCAGCTTTGCAAATTCAGGATAAAGTGGTATGTTTACTGGCATGGACATGTAAACACTTCAGTAGCCCCAGGTAAAATTTCTAAGTTGCAACATAGCTGAAAAGTATATCCCAGCAAAAAGAATTTTATTATGGCTAGATCTGTAATTGCTCTACATTTTTAAAAGGAATATAAATACTGTGCACATTTTTTTAAATCAGATTTGATTTCAGGTTTGCATCAGGACCAGATTTGGTTTTGGTTTGTTGTTTGTGGGGTTTTTTTCACATTTCTGGCCTTGCTGCGGGGGGGGCGGGGAATCTAATTTCTAACTGAGAAGAACAGCACATTTCAGATATCCCCGAACTGATACAGGCCATTTTGGGATTAACTACTTAGTTATAAATAAATTATAGCATTATGAAATAAATATGCACACTGATGAGTTTTCACTATAGCAGTTTTGTAGATTAGAATGTGCTTAAACTACAAAAATTGTGGTTTGTTTACAGGTTGAAAATATTGCACAACAATCATTTATACCAATAAACTACTACCTTAGGGCTGTAAAAAAAATCAGGCCTATTGAGAATTAAGAGATTATATATGCAAAGATGTTTCAAGACACAGCGATTCCATGGGTAATTTGAATGATACAACTAAAACAGGAAAGGTCAGGGGGAGATAGGGAGTGTAAACAGTTTGTAAATTATGTATTTTACATTTGTCTTACCTTTATGCATTGTGCAGGGCAAAACAAATGTGAAATCTCCACCAATTTCTTTATTCAGCATTAGATACTTCATTAGTTTAAAAAAATTAAACCACACCCCTCATCTATTGCTCTTAGAAACTCTAAGTTAATCTCTTTCTTGTATTGTAGTGTTTTGCTTAGTACTGAAGCTTTTGACTACTTTTGGCTAGAATCTGCTGATTTAGCTTTAAGTGCAGGACAAAGTTTACATTTTTTACACATTGATCTGAGAGTCTGACTATTTGCAAATGTTGATGATTGATAGATCACACCTGATTATAATTTAGGGTGCATTTTATTCCTGTGCTCAGTATCTGATGAGATGCTATGAAATATGCTAAAAATTAATTATTAGAATAGTCTGTCTTGGTAAATTATCATCATCCAAATCATCTCTGTATTTCTGTGTTAATGAGTTGTTATATTTATGTAAATGTAACATAATACACTGTACATAGCATTTTCAAGTGTCTGAAATAATTTATTCAGTACTTTAAAGAAATGTAAAACCCTGGTAAAAAGATGGTATCATTACATAGATTGCTGCTGGGTCCTCAGTCAAATAATTTTCCATGCCAAGTAGATTTTCTGAAATCTGAGCTTTTGATACTTCCCTTTATTGAAGCAACGAGAGCATATGTAGCTGGATTTCTTTGTTCTTTTATAGCTGAGTTCAACAGGGCCGTATCACAAACGTGCCTGGGTTTCTTGCAGTTCACCCGTGTGCTGCTTTTATACTCCCAACTCCTAGCGTGACTCAGCCATGTTGTCACCAAAGCTTAAAGAGTGTTTGCACAATCTCACTTCAGCATAATGCGTAATGAACCTCAAATGAATCCTGCTGGCGTGTAGGATAAGGAATTTCCACTTCAAGTTACTGTCTTTGAATGGGGTTGTAAAACGTGCCTGTATTGTTCATCCAGGAAGTATGAAGTTGTAAAAAAACAGCTAAATTGCCATATTTTATCTGCTAGTTACTTCTGCATTTATTGCCTTTATGGACCCAAAGTCCTCCAGGGAGTGTGACAAATCCTGATTGTATTTTCTACTTAGAGCTTTTATTTGTTCACAAATGTGGAAAGAAGAAAAACTATTAGTCACTGGGGATTTGTCTAGCGCTGTCTGCGGCTACTTAAGAACTGGTTCAGCTTCAGTTGCATTTTCATTATTCTGTCTGCTTTTGGTCTGATGTCATGCACAAACTACACCTGTAAATCTGCATTTCCTCATCTGGAAAATGTAAATGCTTTAGTAACCTTAGAGTAGTTGCATAACTGGTTGGATAGTTGCTGTACAAACGGAATATGTTTTCTGTTCCATAATTTGTCCATTTTACAACTGATTCACCCTCTTTCTAGCTTCCTTACACTTCTATTTCTATCTTACATTATGGGGTCCTGATGTTGCAGGAGTTAGGAAGAGCTTTGGCTGCTGAAACAATTGCTGTTTGCTTTTACACTTGTACTACTATAAACAGTCGAGAGAAAGGACTTCAGATGTTAGGAGCAGTAGATCTACAAAGCTTGTAAAGGTCATTCTCTGCCAGGTAAATTTTGTTTTACTTCTAATGCTGTGACCTTTGTGAATCTTACTACAGCACATGCATAAATAATTAGACTTCCAAATTAAAAAAATACATAGTATGCAGCATATAGTAATTTTGCAAAGTCTTTTAGATCATGTGAGTTTGAATCATTTCCTTTGAGGCATTCTCTAAATGTACATTCATTAGAGGAAGCTGCGTATTTGGAAATGAAAACTAGCCAACCAATGCTGGTAGGAAAAAAGTTGATTTCTCTGAACTGTGTTATTGAAAATACATATGGGATTAACCACAAAATGCTAGGAAATAAGTAACAGTTTGGAAATACGAATAAGAAGCAGGAGTTACATGGGGAAAAAACTCTTTTGTCACAATTCCTTTCTGTTTTGGAAATTTTGAGTAGCTGCGGTTTTATCTTGTTAGGAAACACTATTGTTTTTCAGCTCAGTTCTGCCTGTCATATACAGTGTATCAGGAACAATATATTTTAGCCTTCTCAGCCTTTTTTTCCTGCATGGCTTATGTCAACAGGATGGATCTTATTCAGAAACTGTATCTTGTATAACTTGTCACTGTTGTGGCAAGAACTGAGGAGAGAGGGGAACTGAGTTTTTTGAGGAAAATAAGGCATGTTTCATATCACTGTTTTTTTCCAGACAATTCATTTTAATTTCTTTTCAAAAATTCCCCTATGTAAGGAACGTTGCCAAAACACTGCCCAGATCAGCTGCTGCCTCACCAAGGCTGGTAGAACAGTTAGGGTTCAAATCCCAGCCCATACTGTTAGGCTAAGGTGGTAACTTGACTACCTTTGGTGGTAATACATTGAGGTTTTTTTCTTCTGTAAAACATTAGTGCAAGTTCTACTGGACAGTTTGGTGTGACAGGAAACTTATCTCATCTACTACATTTTCACAGAAGCCAGAGGGCATGATTCAGCTACTACTGAATTTCAGTGAGATTTGGGTATTCAGTCCTGGGTGACCTCCTCTGAAAGAACATAGTCCCCATGCCTGACTTCCACACAGAAACATCACCATTCTGTACTCCTTTCCTCACCCTCTTATTTTTCCCTTTTTGGTGTTAAGCGCAGGAGAGAAATACAAGGTTGTCGCAGGGAGAAAGATGAGGTGATTCAGCAGACTCCAGATGCAAAATCAAGAACACCTAAGCCCAACCTGCAACTTCCAGTCACTGGTCACTAAGTTTTGTGTCAAGCCCAGTGAATATTCGGTCAGTTTGTGACCGCCTTTGGCAGTTGACATTTACCACACGGGCTGAGGCAGCAGCAAGAAGGAAGCTGAGCCGGGCCTGGGGCTGCGGCTGGGCCTGGCTGCCCCCCACGGGCTATGGAGGCCAAGCAGAGGAAGGCCCACCGCCAGCACCAGGCACTGCCATCTCTGCTGGTGTGGGCACCAGGTGAAATGGCTGGGAAGCTACAGGCAGTATGTGGATGACAGGCTTTGTTTTGTAGCGCAGTTCCGCTGCTGTCATCTCCAGTGCCTTTCTGTACGTAACACTGAGCCTGAAGTCATGGCTTCGGGGCATAGCACTCTGCACAAGTCTTTTGTTGGTGTTTCCCCACAGCACACTGTCTGGATGAATACTATAAAGGGTTTGAGAGTGCCTTTTTGGTTGTTTTTTTGTTTGGGTGGGTTTTGGGGGTTTTTTTTGGTGTTTTTTTTTTGCCTAGTAACACATCTGAAATGTCTGGCCCGGTCTCATGTTCAGGTTAATCATCTAAAAGAATGACTGCTGGCTCTGTGGTAGGAGCACTGGAAG